ATAGAGTGTTCTTTCATAATGACAGCATAACTTGTTGGCTTACATTCATCTGTTCCACTCTGTAGACTCTGGGCCATCTTCTTAGGAACTGTTAGCCTGCCTGTATTTTTTGCATTTGATTTTTTTCTGCCTAAGCATATTCATTGCCCTTCTTTTGAGTCCTGGTTTTAGCCCATTTCCCCACTTTAAGAGTTTTTTTTTTAATTCCAGTGTCTTCCATCATACTTGAAGCCCTTCTTCGAGATGTGTCACCTGGAAACATGACAAGCAGAGTCATTACATTTCTTTCAGGAAGGGACCTGTTGCCTTGTCCAGTGCTCACAAAATCCCCTAAGCCCCTAACTGCTCAAACACTTCGCAATATCTTTCTGTAAATGTTGCTGAGATATTGCCATGTATTCTATAGGACATGCAGTGAACTGAATCCAACTGTTTTAAAATTTAAGCTAGCAGCTGGCTCACCTTTTTAAAAGTCACTCTATACTTTCATCCTCAGTGTGCAGTGATGTTTTTTTTTTACTGAGCTTATGTTATTTTCTTTCTACCTTGAAGTGATGATGGTGTCCAGGTTGATTTGTCATAAGCTGATTTTCCCCCAGTCTTCTCAGTCCTCTATATAATTATGGGCCTGTGAAAGAAGCAGCTTTGTTTATTCTCATTGAAGTTGTTCATTGTATGAAGTCAAGCATAGATGTGTAACTGTTTACAAAAGTGTGGCCTAGCACTTTAAGTTTCCTAACCCATTCCCAATAAAAAAAAAAACCTAAAAGGCGGCGGCTGTAATCACAGTTCAGGGGGATTATGTACTGATCAAAGTCAAAGCAGCAGCTCCATTAAAATTTGTGGATTGCATAGGCTGCAGAATTCATGACCTGGCCTGATGACGAAGAAGATTTTTTTTTAAAACCCCAATTCTTTCTCAAAAATACCGTCTCATGTTTCCCTTACTATTTTCCAGAAGTTGTGTACACCTACTCTCAGTCACTATTCCAAAACACCCGTCTTTGTACAGAGAAGTATTGTCTTCCATCAGTGCAACAAATGAGGCTTTTCCCCACACTTTTCCTTAAAGACTAGGCGGTGGAGTTGACATCTGATTCATAAGCTTTTGATCCATGGTTAATCCTAGAGTGGCATGCATCCAGCGCCTGCAGAGTGTTGGATATTGTGTACCTAATGAAGTAGTTGTTGGTGTACAGCACAGCGGGAGACTCTCTCATGTTCTCAAACAGCAGCTTTAGAGTCAGTCAGTGTTCTCTGGGTGGGCCTTTGGGGAGAGAGGCTGAAAGAGTCCCTGAGAAGCAGGCCCTTTTCTGTTTGCTCCCCTTTCTATGCACTGAAAGTGAAATTCAACAATAGGGTTTTTTTTTTTTGTTTTTCATCCTATAGCTACCTAGGCTGCCCCATCATTTCACAGCAACACAATCCCATAATATATGACGTGTTTTTGCTCAGTTCCAAACGTTCTCTTATACCACTGTAGATCAGGAGCATGTCCTCTGAAAACAGTGGAATTATTCTCATTTTATTCCATGAGAATGTGGCATTTTAATGCTACATTAAAGAGACAGGAAAGCAATGAAATGTAGCATTACCGAAATACGACTGATGACAGAAATGTTTCAGTCTTTCCCTGCTTACAAGAAAGATAGATAATGTAATCCTGATTGTCTGTAGGCTTACAGTCTAGATGTAAAGCAGTCCAGCTCTGGGGAGATGCCCAGAGCTTGCTATGGCAAGCTTCAGGCAAATCTGATGCCTCATTTCATTCAGTTATACTTTAAGAGAAGGATATAAGAGGCAAGAAAGTCCAAAGAAAAGAGCTGGATCACAGTTGCAGACTGAAGCCCTCTAGAAAAAGCCTGAATCATCTCAAAAACTTTTTTGGAAAGGAAAGGAAAGGGCTTTGCAAAAACTGAGAAGATGATGCAGTCTTAGCTCTTCTCTATTGTTGTGCTTTACAAGACCTGAGTGTTTCTCCCCAGGCAAACTGGGGCAACTTTGCTTCTGCTGTCTAGTTCCCTGATTTGGCAACTTGAAGAGGCTAGCAGACTAGTTTCTAAAAAAACCCCTCAGTCATCAAGAGAGACCAAGACATCAGAAGTAGTACTATAACATGAAAGGAGTGATAGGAAACATCAACAATTCCTGTTAAGCAGAGCAAATGATAATGATATTCAGAGGATGAAGTCAAAACAGCACCGAACCTTTGACACTTTCAGGAAACTGAGCGGTTGTGTAGGGAGAATATCTTTGCAAAAGTCTCTAAAATTGCAGTAGAAACCCTCAACCTTGTTGAAGCAGGGGGTCAGATCACTTGGGCAGAAGAACAGGTTATTATTAGTTAGGCATTTACAGGATTGGCTGTGTCTTCTATTGCTTCTCACATACAAATCTCAAAGTGTGTTATAGGGCGGTCAATATTATTGTTCCTGCTGTGCTGAAAGGCCAAATAAGCACTCAGAGTTGATAATTTGCCTGGGGTTACCCAGAAGCAGAGAAGAGGACTCCAGAGTGCCTGTTTAGTACGTTGTTCACTCAATCAGTGTTTCCTGAGAAGAATCCACCCGGGGAAGGTTGGCACAATATATTCACAGGGACAGAAATCACATCAAAGAGTTTAACACCTCAAATTGACAAAGGCGAAGCAGAAGCACAGAGGGATGCATTAATTTTCTTCTAGTCTCACAGCAGGTTAACAGAAGAAACACGGCTCCAAGGCCAGGTGCCTTCCCTTGCTGACAAGCAGTCCTCCCCCAGACCAGGCGGGCTCAGCCAGGGTCTGTGGTCACACTCTCTTTTCCTGAGCTGACACCCTGTTTTCACCTGGAGGTGGAAGAGAGAAGTGGAAGAATATGAGATACATTTATTTTGCACACTGGTGAAGTTCTAGGAACAGAAAACAGAAAAACTCCCTGGCAAAGGAGAGCAAAATAAGAAGAGAATTCAGAAATGCCATACCATGCATTTCACATTTGGCAATTTGTACTTCAGAGTTAAAGCAGTTTTGTACATGCCCTTTGAAAGTGTGAGGCTGCATGCATGAAGAAAGCACCTATTTCCCTTATGCTTTGAGCAGCGAGCCATATGTTTTAAAAATTAAAAAGAACAATTAGTCTTGGCGCATTAAATCTGCCCATCTAGGTAGCTAACTAGCTTTTTTACAGAGATGACTGTCCCAGAACAAAGCTGAGGAAACAAGGCTTGGAAATGTAAATATTATTAGGTGTGCAGGAAAATAAATTAGGAAAATTGACAATTTTAACTACTTTTATTTACTTTCATATGCTGACTTCCCAGGCTGGCATCAGAAGTTACATCTGTCGGGTTGCTAGCAGAGTCGGGTATGGAGGCAGAGGGGCATGGGGAAAGGATAGGCTCAGTCCCCATATTGACAGCAGGATCTGCAACTGCAGCATATTACCGATATAAGAAATCCCTAAGAGAAACAGGAGCTTCCCAACATCGCCCCCAAATACTGAAGGTACCATGTAGGGGTAGCTGTAAGCTCAGCAGGAGCTTCCAGGCCTCTGGACACTTAAATCACGTCTGGATTCTCTGACTGAGATTTTCCTATTTTGCTTGGGAGGATTATGGATGGAAGGAGGATTAAATGATAAAGTGAATCATGTGAGAGTGAGGGAATGCCTACACGATGAAAGAAAGAGTGACTGGAGGAGACCTTTTTATTTCAGTGGATTGTGTGGAATAGAAAAATACAGATTTAAGGCATTCTGGTGCCTAACACTGTGCTTAGATGCACAAGGTTTGTGTGTTGTGCCTGCTTGGACTATGAGATCCTTGGGGTAAAGACTGTGTTTTTTTTAGATCACCTAGCAGAGTATTGCCCTGCTCCTTCTGCAGTCCTGGAATGCAAACATTAACTATGATTGTTTTTCATAGCAGAGGCTAGGGTGGACTGTATTTACAAAGAGATTCAGTTTATCCGCTTTAATTATTTTCTGCTTAAAGAAAATACGTTCATCTTAGTTTTCTGTTTGCTTGGTTTTGTTTTTTAAATGCTATGTTCAGGTGAGAAATGTGCGTTTGCAGTATTTGACAGTTACTTTTATAAGCTAATAAAAATCAGAATGTATGTCGCTCCAAATGTCAAATATATCATTACAGTTGGTTTTCAATGTCCATTTCAATATGGTAGTTTTGTACTTGACTGCCATCATGGAGCAAGAGGTAGCAAGCCAGGGCCTCATTTGTATCAACCACTGGACAGCACTCAAAACATCTAGCCATTTGAGAGGCAAATGGAAAATCTATAAGCCAGTGTGACGAACTACCTGCTACTCCTTTCCTATTTCCTTCTTCTATTCTGCAAATACAAATTGCAGATTTCTTGGTGATAGAGATTCATGTAGACTCTAACAGAATGTCAGCCTTCAACTCGGCTGCACGTATGAGAAGGCAAATAGTAAACAGGAGCATTGGTACACTTTTTCAGTGACATTCATTATTCTGTGGAATTCTTTCTTATGTCTATTCTTATTTGATTCCTCTATAACATAACCACATTTGACTTAGTGGCTGTTTCGCTGAAGAACAATGGAAGCTTACTTCACCATTTCACTTCCTTTCAGATAGTTGTCATTTCCCTTTAATGTTGTGCTTTTTATAATTTATATCTAAGTAACAGAGAAGGAGGTATTCTGGAATTTGCTGTTAAAGTGAGGTACATTCCAGGAGCAAAATTTAGAAGCGTTATTTACACACCATTTTGAGAAATGCATGTTATTGTGGTTGTAAAATAGAATCCACCAGTTGATTTGGGAATACTTTTGTGTCAGTATAGGCTATTTTCTGACTCACCTTGGTGAGGAGACTATGTTAAATCTCATTACTTGAATAGATGAACAGAAGAGGCTTCTGTATAAAAGGCTACGGTTTATGTTTATCATTTTAGCTGAAAAGGAAAGATGGGGAAAGGAATGGGGATCCACATCTATCAGCTACTTTTTCCTTTTCTAAATTCTATTTTTATTTTGCAGGTGATGGAAATTAAAGGACAAATGATTCATGTGCCAGAATCAAATTCAATTTTGTTTCTGGGTTCCCCCTGTGTGGACAAGCTCGATGAACTGATGGGCCGAGGCCTCCATCTTTCGGACATACCTATCCATGATGCTACTCGTGATGTCATACTGGTTGGGGAGCAAGCAAAGGCCCAGGATGGCTTGAAAAAACGAATGGATAAGCTGAAGGCAACGCTAGAATGCACACACCAAGCCCTGGAAGAGGAGAAAAAGAAAACAGTAGATCTCCTTATTTCTATTTTCCCTGAAGAAGTGGCTCAGCAGTTGTGGCAGGGGCAGCAGGTTCAGGCCAGGAAGTTTGATGATGTCACCATGCTCTTCTCGGACATTGTTGGCTTCACTGCCATCTGTGCGCAGTGCACACCCATGCAGGTCATCAGCATGCTGAACGAACTCTACACACGGTTTGACCATCAGTGTGGATTTCTGGACATCTACAAGGTAATAGCTCAAGTCCTAAGTTAGCAAAATCTAATCAAAACTAAGATAGAAAAAAATCGCAGTAGCCATCTTCCTAAATTACAGACCTTCCATATCAAAATGGAAAGGCAATAATTTTGTTTCACATGACAAAAGTAAATCTGAAATATGCCCACTGAAAATCAAACACTTTGATACTGAGCTTTTGTTGTAGTTTGCCCATGGGAATACATGCTCATATTCCCATTTTCCTATAAGAATGTATTCCTGTATTATAGCCTGGTTTCCTTTAGGTGACACATCAGCCACAGCGTCCTAAGGGTGATGTAGTGCACAGTGATGATCCTAGCCCAAGCTGCAGCTCCTGGAAGGCACTCAAATACTTTCTGTTTCAGCTGAACCTTGAATAGTTTAGGGTTTAGGCACTTATATTTCCTCTGAAAGAATTCAAATTTTCCATAAAGAGCAGAGCATTTGCTAAAAAAAGTGTTATAAGAGAGGTATATTTCCATTGAAAATGAGTAAGAGGACAGCAGATGTCCATTCATAGTAAACGGAATGAGTGGGACATGGCATTGGGGTGCCATGTGCCTTTAGTGCTCTATAGAAAAGGATATGTCACATGTGTTGGTGGTGTTACAGACTTCATCACCTTCACTGCTTTTCAGTGAATTTGTTGTCCAGTATGTATTTGAGAGAAAAAAGAGGGAGGTAGAATTTAATAAATGCAGTTAAGATATCTGTGTAATTATCCTGTGAAATCTACAGAGAATATGTTTTGTATATGGAATACTTTAAATTTTGTGATAGGATAGCAGACCAAATTTGTTTTTATAACTGAATGCACCAAAGAAAAAAAAAATTGTAAAATTATATATTGACTTCATTTTGTGCCCCAGGCTTGCAAAGTAAATCACCAGTCTTCAAACTGTTTCAAATAGAATTTGTTGATAGACTACAGAGAAAAGGGTTTCACAAGACTGCTGTCACTTTCATTTTTAGCCTCTAATACACTTTAAAAGGCATCCAAAAACGTTAATTACCCACCTAAATAATAATTGTGGCTGAAGAGTTACAGTACATACCACAGATAGAACTGAACATGGTATAGGCTGGTAGGACAGTATACCAAAGTAAAAGATCACACTGTAAATAAGTTTTGTGCTCCTGGGCAAGGGGTTTGTATTACTAATGCTCAGAAGCCAAAGGCTGTGTTGGGAGAGGACTACAATGGAAGGTACCAGTCCTGATATGAAAATTGTTATGGTGATATTGTCAGAAAATATTGGAAGTTTCATCTCCATTTGTATTAATCTGATGTTGCTGCACTGGATCTCGAGCCAGCTCTGAGAACGGGATTTGAGGAACTTCAAACCCACAGTCAAGAGTGATATCGAGTGACCCTGTTTCACATGCTGTATCTGGTACATGGGTGTAGTTAGTGTTTTCCCAGATGATTAATTTTAGTTAGCTGTTTTGAGGCATTCAGGACATTCTTTGTTGAAAACTATGGTTGCATGGGAATAGAAAGTAAAGTCTATAAAACTCTATGACCTGTTTGGAAGGAAGGTTGGTTGAGTCCTGTGAGAACGCTAAGAAGGAATATTTATACACAGGTCATGAATATCATATCATTTAGACCATGGCTTTCTGCCTTTCACCTAGCTTTGTGCCACTTTAGGTAGAAAGAAATTATTTTATGGAAATACTGTCCTGACCTGTGAAATAAGATGACGGCTGCTGAGATAGGCAAGATAAGATTTATGCATTCAGAAAAGGAATAAACACTCCAGAAAGTTAAGAACCACATGTAAATATATGAGCAGGGGAATAAACAAAACCTAATTTTCTATAGAAGGATGTCTTACACCTCTAACACCTTTTCTCCACTGTTGCTGCTTTAATATAGCCATTTTTTTCTCAGATTCTTTCATCCTGGGTTTTCCTACAACTCCCTACTCCCATGTCCCCTGAGCATCTCTACATCTCCACAGTGTGCACTGTGGCTATTGTGGAGCTGTATGTACCTTTTTTTTTTCTCTCCCCAAATCTTTTTTTCATTTGTTTCTTAACTAGAAGTATAAAAAAGGTACTGTGGGGTTAAGTGAAAATGACTCAGTTGAACATTGCAGAAAGACAAAACTCAGGCAATGAACCCTTTTTCTTTTCCTTAGAGAATCAGGCTTAAAAATAAAATGAAAATTCCTTTTAAAAAGCATTTGCATTTAAAAATAAAAATAGCTTGTGTGTTTATATCTTTTTCATTTGTTTTAGATGATATTCTGGAAGCCAAGTTTATTGCTAGGAATGATCACCACCACAACAACTACAATTTTAGAAGGTATTGTCAGGCAGTGAATTTTAGATATGTAATCACCAGTATTTGTACCTACAGCCTGCCTCTAAGATATATTCCTGTAACTAGGCTATTGAAATTTATCATGTAACCTATATATACATCAAAACAGATCAATTTTCACATTTGCTTGTTTTTAAGCAACACGGCAAGAATAATTTGCAAAGATCATTTCGTGAGTACTTCTGAATACCAATTTCACCGTTTTGTAAACAGAAAATTAATCAAAATTCATTAAATAAATTCCATGCTGTAAGTTATTCACCCAGCTTTACTGTTACAGCATTTGGAATTCAGAACCTTGGTGCTTCTGATCTTGGACTCAGACAATGAACATAATATTTTCAATTGTCTCTTGCTATTCATTCAGGGATGTTTACAGAAAAGTATGGCACAGAAAGAAGAACAAAAATCTTTGCATTTAACAAGTCAGACAGAGCACAAACATAATGAGCTATGGGATACAGAGTAAGAAATGCTCGGAGAGGGCTGAAGGGGGATGAATTACACGTTGAAATTTCTTAGAAATGAAAGTAAGTAGCTAAAAAAAAAATGACACAGGCAGATGATGCGCTCAGATAATGAACTTCACAACAGCATTTTGAATGGATACCAGAAATGACAGATTACATTTGTCGAGGCTGAGGGAGAACACTGCAGTAATTGAGATGCATGGTGACACAAGCCTGGGTGACAGTTTTAGCAGTCTGGAAGAATCTGTGTTTTAGAGAGTGAAACTTTAGAAAGAATCTGCTTACATATGGCCTTGATGAAAAGATCAAGAGGGACACGCTTGGGGTAATCACAGAAGGAAGAGGATGTGAGAGAACTCAGACCTAGCAATGCATTTAGAAACTGGTGCTACTGACTTTCTCAGCTAATTATATTTGGCTTGGCATTGAGGAATGGGAGAAAAAGATGCTGTCAAGGAGTGCAAATCAAAGCAATGTAGATGCAGATGCTTGGTAAGCTGGTGTCTGTGGACATAAAAGTAGAAACATGGACTCCAGGAGCAGAAGTAATGGGAGAGAGATCTTAGTAAATTTTGGAAGCAATTACTTTGGGTAAAAGATACATTGGGAGGCCTGACTGTCTTTGTTTTAACCTGTTTTTGTCTGTATCTGAATTCCTGTTGTTTCTGAGCAAAGCTGGAAACGATGCTCCAGCTAAGCCATCTCTTTATCAAATAAGCTACTTAGATACGCTGCAGCCATGGCTGGTGGCATTTAAAACTTAACCCTGCAGACTGAAATCTTCCCTGCTTAAGATTCCTGCAGCTTCTGTTTCTCCCTCCCAGTGATGTCATTGATGTAGGATCATTTTCCATATTTTTTCTTGTTGAGTCCTTTTGCCTGTGTAGGCCTGCTTTCTCAGCTCTTTTCTCCTTGGTTTCCTTTCTGAAACAACCCCATTTCCCTCCCTTCCCCTTTAACTACTGCATGGAGTACAGGCAGCGTGTACTGTGGCTGTTTTACTGGCCGTGCATGCCCTGGCTGGATGGTGATATACGCTGGCTGGGTAACGCCAGGCCAAATAGAGCAGAACCTGGCCTGCTCCCATAGGTGTTAGTTTTGTTGTCCTTTCTCTGGACAGTGCAGCATTTGTCCTTGAAGGCATTTACAGATTTTTCCCTAACACTAAACTTCACTTTCTGTGAAGTGCTGAGTGCCACTTCCCGTGTCTAAGCAGAGAGTCCTAAATGCTTTCAAAAATTAACCATTGCCAGCTGCCAGAATTTATTTGTGAGACTTTTGTTGTAAAAATTTTAATTGAAAGTTTATTGCATATTTATCGAGTAAGACAATGTAATTCCACAGGTTAATTTTATAGTTAGAATTCACACCTTTGTTATGTGAATTTCTGCTTTCTTTTTGGTTTCATTATTAGGCTAAACTGACACTCTCTCTGAGTGCTGCCACACACATGCCTCAAATTCCTTTACTAGCTTCCTTGGGGTTCTCTTTGGCTATTATTCCTGGCAACATTATTTGAATTACTTTACACTGAATGATATTATTTTATTTTTTTTCTGAATTATGCAGTTAGTATGTCAGATCTTCATTTTCTGATTTTATACACCTAACTCTGGCTAGAGCCTTAATTTTTGCATGTTGTAAAGACCTGAGGGTGGGAAGTCTGGACTCCTCTGCAGTCATTCGAGACTAATCAGTTCTGAAAAATGTTGTTTATATTGAGGTTGTGATATAGTGCTTTTAGGAACCTAATTTTAAACTCACATTTTCTAAAAATATCACTTCACATTTTTATATTGGTAGTTTAAGTTGCAGAAATCGGTATTTATTTTACAGAAAATACCAGTACTTTCTCAATGCTATGACTACACCTCCTTCAGAACTGGTATTTGTGCATATTCATATATATGTTCTTAAGCTTACTCTCAGTACTATAATGACTAAAGAATACTGCAATGACAGGGGTCATGACCTTCAGACTATTTTGAGGTTTTCCAAGCTTTATGTTTCATAAGTTAAAAACCATAGTCTCTAAGTTTTCATGTAAAATCTATGGCCACTATTTTTGTCTTCTATCACTTCTTCAGTTTTAACCTTGTAAGTTCAGTGCAACACGACCATTTTGAGAAGTTTTCAAAGTGTTTAAACTTCAGCTTAGACATCTGCAGAATGAATATTACTATGAAATACAC